CCCCCCCCGCCGCCGCCGTGACAAAGCAGAGCGGGCGCAGCCCGGCCCCGCCGCGCCGCGGGGACACCGGGGGGACCGGGAGGCAGCGGGGAGCTGCGGGCCGGACTGGGGAAGCGCGTCCTCCCCGCACCGCTCCGCAGCGCACGGTGCGCCCCCCGCCCCGTCCCCCCCGCAGCCGCGGGGGCCGCTCGCTGGCGCTCCCCGTTTTCTCCTCTTTGCCCGTTCCCGTGGCTCCCACCCGCCCTCCATCCCATTTTCCTCTGCAATCCAAAGTTTTCCCCGCAGCCAAGGAAAGTTGGAGCTCAGCACCGCTGCGGGAACCGGGACTGGAGGTCCCGGTGTCCCGGAGGTGACCGGGTCCGGCGTCCCACCGGTCCCAGGGGTGCCCGTGACAGCCCGGCCTCGCCCCACTCTCCCCCTCTTGCATAACCGGGGCTGCTTCTCCCGGAGCCGCGACGCCCGGCTGCGGAGTTTGGCTGTGACCGGGCCTGGTGGCACTGAGAATGTGTTTATCCAACCACCGGGGCTGTCCGTTCCCCCATCCGTGTGTCCGTTTGTCCATCCTCCCCCCATGGCTCCATCCAGCTCTCTGCCAGCCGCTCGTTCCCAAGCCGTGCACGTCGCGTTCCCGGCCCTTATTGATCTATTCAGTGAATACTTGAGCTCGTCAGCTCCATGGCCGGGCTGGGAATGTGCGAGGGGCCGCTCTTGGCAGCGCCCGTGCTCCGCGCTGGCAGCGGCTCCAGCCGGGAACCGGCGGCCGTGGCGAAGTTCTCGCAACGCTTGGACGCTCCGGGCTGTTTTTTCCTTCAAAAGCAGCGAAATGGGGGAGTCTCGGCTTTCCTGTGACGGATTCCCCTCTGCCCGCACGGGAATGGCCTGGTGAAATGAGAGGCCGGGATGATGGATGAGAGAGAGGGGTTTGTTTTTTTGGTTTAGGGGGAGGTTTTTCTGTCCCGTTTCTTTGCCCACCTTGGAGCAAAGCGGGAGAAGGGATTTGGTGTCGTGGCAGTGGCAGCATCTGACCCATCACCGGGTCCGAGGGATGGAGGAGGAGGAGGAGGAGGAGGAGGAGGAGGTTTGGGCAAACGCCAGATCCCTGCCCCAGATTCATGTCTGGGGCTGCCGGTGGCCGGAGCTTGTGGTTTCCATCCTCCAGCCCCTCCTCGCCCTACCGGGGGTGCGAACACTTGATCTGTGTCCCTTGGAGGGAGGTGACAGCAGCGGAGCAGCTCCGGGCACCCTGCAGCCCCCCCTCGGTGGCACCTGCAGGGCTGATTGAGCCGCTGGCACCCTCCCGGTGAGCTCGGCAGTGCAGGTGGCCAACAGCTGAGCCCTCCGGGGTCACCCCTCCGGGGACACGAGGTCTCAGAGGCACGGTCCCCGCTCGGAGGTGGCTCGGAGCAGCCGGCGGATCCAGAAGTTGGTGGGGGCGGAAGGGAGGCATCGCTCATTGCATAAGCTGCGTTGCCTTTGGAAACGAGGCTGCGGAAAGATGATGAGCTGGAGGGAAGTTCTTCCATCCTCTTCTCCACACCCCAGGAGCTGGAGTGGGGCACAGACACTCCTTCCTCCTGGCGCATGTCCCCCTCCTGAGGGGCTCGCTTTTGGGGACTGTCATGGGGGTGAGGTGCTGTCCCACCACCTCGGGGTGCTGGGAGCTGTGTCAGGCTGTGGGTGGGGAGGATGTGGAGGCATGTGGCGGATGTGGAGGCACCACAAGCACGTGGTTGGCTCAGTTAGGGGCCAGAACGTGCCACCAAGGTGCCACCTGAGCTGGTGCCTCAACCCTTGTGGTCCTGGCTGCGCTCTGGTTTCCCTGGTGCAAGTCTCCCACTGCCCCAGCTGGGTACAGCGGGACCCTGGGAGAGGCCGGGAGGTCATTTGGAGCAGGGTGCAGGTCCCCATCCTTGTCTGGAGAGCCAATTCCTCACACTCACGGCTTCTGCTTGCAGCTCTGGGAGCTCTTTGCTTTTTCCTGGAGGAGAGGAGGACAAAGTCCAGCTG